CCCCTCCCCCCCAATACCTGCATTTCATAAAAGATTTCATGGAGCCTGCAGATACAAACCAGAGAATGAGAGCTTAACGTGAGAGCTCAAAATGCTGTCACTGCAAGGGTATGACAGGGAAGGGTGATCTGCTGGGACTGTGTCATGCAAGGGAAGCATACAGCAACATTACTTTGTTCAGTCACTTCTAAATACATCTACAGACTAAGTTCATGACACACCTGCCAAATATGCCTGCACCCATACGCAGAAGGTCACTACTACAATCTGATAAGAAATCCTATTTACTGGTTTTCAGTTCCTTCTCTGCTTCCCAAAAAACAAGTTAGCAAATGTTCATTCCCCTCAATCCTACGAGTGCACGTTCCATAAATCAGTCCCGTATTAAATAAATAAATAAATAAATAATATCCCTCTGAAAATCTGAAAGTATTTGGATTCAACCTAATCAACTCAAGCAAAGTGTCTTCTAGAGGAGGGAATATGCCTCCGCACCGGGGCACTCAGCACACCTGGAATCATGCCTTGCAGACAGGGTTTCCCTCTCGCAGATGTTAAATCCATCTACGCTCCCCGTGCAGCCGGGACCCGGGGCCGGCAAGCCCAGCTGCCGCCGGGCAGGGAGAGAGATGTGCAGCCTCTGGCACACGCCCCAGGTAAAACAACGCTCCCAGCAAACCGGCCGGGAGGGAGAAAAAGCTAATTAATCCTGAAGAGCCCCTGTCAGGGAGCTTCACTGTAAACTCCTCCTCGGTTTTAAATCGCTCGGGGTTCCCGTGGGTGGCGGGGGTGTTGGGGGAGCTGCGTCCCTGAGCGCACCGCTCCATCCCCAGGGGGAAGGTGCCCGCTCCCCGCAGGCAGGCGCTCACACCTGCCCGCTCCGGGCGTCCGGGCAGGTTTACCTTGAGTGTGAGAGGCGTGATCTTCTCCTTATTCACCCCCTCGGGTAAGAAATCCAAGAGGCAGTCCAAGACCACGTCCTTCACAGTCTGAAACTCGGCTTCTCCTTTGAGGTCGGCGCAGAAGATGAGGTCCAAGTCCTTGTAGCCCAGGCCGCTGTCCTGGTGGAGGACGTGGCTGGCGGCCGAGCCGTTCAGCCGCACGTCCCGCAGGCCGATGCCCTTCTCTTCCAGCCGGCTCCGCACCACCTTGACGATCTGTCGAGGCTGCATGGCCAGCGTGGGGAAGTTTCCGCGGCCGTGGATGGGGATGGTTTCGCTGAGGATGCGGTCCAGACGCTGCACTTGCTCCCAGCTCAGCACGTTGCAGTGCGCGCTCTCGCCGCCGTCCGCGGAACTCCCGCCGGCCTTCTCATCGTCTGCCATGGTGAGCGGCCGCCGCCCGCCCGGGCTGGATCCAGGCACCGCTCCGGCTCTCCGCCGGCCCCCCGGGGCCTCTCTCTCTCCGCGCCTGGCAAAAGAGGAGGAAAAGCC